TATGAGTATAGTGTGTATTAGCGTGTAGATTTCAATTTCTGCACAGTCTAATCTAATTGTCATACTCTTCGAATTTCATATTAAGAAATTCTTTTAACCCAAAAAGCAAATTATGCTCCCTTCGACCTGGTTTTCTTAAAATACAAATCTTGTGTAATCCCAGGCTATCTGTAATCAGAAGCACATTTAAAACTGGAATATAATTTAATTTCATTCACGTGTGCTTCATATAATTCTTTCTGGATTACAATCCGCCATCAAAATGATTTTTTGACATTTAATTATTCTAGCTGTTGTGAGAAAAGGCTAACGATCTGCCACCTGCAGAATCCTCACATGTGATAGCCTAGTAGCCGGGACAACTTTATGTTTACAGAAGTGACGTTATGACGCAGCAGCATGCTTGAATTTCCCGCGAAAACCTACCCGTACCACTCAAATTAGAAAACATTATTATAAGCCATCCGTTGTGAATCAGGCTAAAGTAAGGCGATAGTTTTGAACACTGGCTGGTTATGTACTTGCTCAAATATTGATTTTGGATCATTTTTAACCAAAAAAAAGTTACGGACTGCAGCTTTAAGACACAATACATCCAGTTTCTATAATAAATTAACTTTTCTTTGCAAGAGTGACTTACCTCCTGTTCCGGTCTCTCCCACTGTCGAATACGGTAAATCGTTTCCAGCTCATGCTTTTGTTGTCTCATGCAAAGGTCCACTTGCCGGCGTCTGTCCTGCAGAATCTCCATTAAACCTTCCACCTTTCCAAAGCTGCTCCAGGCCCCGTGAGAAGCTCTGCCATACTTCAGGGCCTGCTGGGACTGGAAGTCCTTCAAAAATCCCAGCAACTCACGACTCTTATTCAACACCAGCATTGACTTCTCCAACATCCCTGAGGATAGAGCACAAGCTTCGTAAAATATACTGGTGTGTTTTATTTTACAGTGTTTATGACAGATAACAAAAAACTCTATTCACATATTCGAAAGATATTTTGTGGTGAGAATTCCAAACATTCCTGATATAAGCTCCCAAAGGCCAATCTGAGAACAATTCCTCTTCATTTATTAGGTTTATATCTGCATGGCTCCTATGCCATCACTCAGTCTCCTGCTTTTGGCAGGTGCTAGGGTGCTGCTAAGGGGTTCCAGGGCATCATAAGCCAATGGTGAGCTTGTTGCAAAGGTTTGTTGCAAAGGAACAAAGCTCTTACCTCTTCTAATAGTGCTGTGTCTCTGAAGGAGTTCATTCATGTTGTCTGCAGTGGTCGATTTCTGACCAACACTCTGAAAGTCTTCAGCTTCATCTATCCTGATGGCAAACTGTAATTGAACAAGTTTCAAAAGCAGCTGAAAAAAGTGGCAAGATTGAAAGGCCAATATAAATTTCAAATCAAAATGGCCAGATGAAGATATTCATCTAAATCTTACAAAGGCTGCATTTATTTGATCAACAATACACTAAAAACACTAACTACAAACTGAAATAAAAAGAAGTTTAAAATTTAATTTATTCCAGTCATGGCAAAGCTGAATTTTCACGATCCTTCAGAAATCATTCTAATATACTGGTTTGTTGCACATTTTTTCAAACACATTTTTTATTATTATCAATGCTGAAAAGAGTTGGGTTGCTAAATATATTTATGGAAACTTTGATACCTGTTTTTAAGGATTCTGTGATAAAAAAAGAAGAGCATTTATTTGAAATAGAAATCTTTAGGGAAATTATAAAAGTCCTTACTGCCCCTTTTGATCAATCTAATGCATCACTGCTGAATAAAAGTATTTTTACAAATGTATATACATTTACTGACCCCAAACATTTCAAGGGCAGTGTAAATAGTTTCAAAATAAAAACATAATATCAAAGTGAAAAGTATATATGCATTGTTTTTAACAGAATTTGTATGCAACAAGAAACATGCAAACAGTGTAGGCCGATATCTGATAAAGACCGATATCTGAGATCTGGCATGTCACATTTCTTTCAACATCTGCTCAGAAACACTGTGTGTACTCTGCATAAACAGCTTCTGGTGAATGACAACTCCATCATGTTACATAAATGACAGCAGCAACCTTCAGCGGATGAATGCAGTCGACTATGTACATCATCATAATGGTAATTTAGCAGGAAGCATGTCTGTTGAAATGTTATCAGCAAAACAAATATTGTTCTGAAACATGCTCATGCTTGAGTTTACTTGCACAACCACCATTTTCTGCTGCTGATGAATCATCTTCATTTATCTAGAATATCTAACTGAAGCAGATATCAAAGTAATGTGACTGACTTGCTTCAGATTGCTGAAGATAAACGGAAACAGCTGTTCACTGTAAAAAAAAACAAAAAACAGAACAAATACACAACATTGCATGTTCAGCCAGTATCAAATAGCACCATGTCTCCCAACTTTAAAGCTGTAAAAACAAAATTCATCCATTGTAATTCTAAACAAAAACATTGTTTTGTACAGTACACAGTGTAGTACACTCCCTGTGGCACGTCTAACCATCAGGGACAGAACTCTTTTCCCATTTAAATAGTTTTTAAAAGCCACTGGTTCTGAAAATAATCATGTCTTGTTTGGAAAATGTTGCAAAATTTTAACAATGGGCTTTTAAAGTTAGAAAAATGCACTGCAGTTCTGTACAGCCAACAGGCAGCCAGCCTCTAAATGTGAACACTAATGCTACACAAACAATCAACAAGCAAAACACATCACAAACAAACAAACAAATTTGAATTTCGATGAGAGAAATAGTGTCATTTCAATAAAAATCCACTTGATCAAGAATTAGGAGTTCAAGTTTTTCATGGATTTTCTGCGCTGACCAACAGGAAGCTGCTTGCATTTTGTGGGAACAGTGTGCTGCTGCATTTGTTTTGCATTTTACTGTTCAAAATTAAAACAAAGTACAGTACTGAGACACTTTCTTGTTAATGTGATGAACTATATACACCTGCAGTTAACCATGCTACGTTTTGATAGTTACATATCAATAAATGACTTTTTAGCCTGGGGAGGACGTTTTGAATGTATGTTTTCACATTACCAAAAGATGAAGTTAAAGGGTTAGTTCACCCAAAAATGAAAATTAACCTGTGTTTTACTCACCCAAAAATGAAAATTAACCCGTGTTTTACTCACCCTCGAAGCATCCTAGGTGTATATGACTTTCTTCTTTCAGACGAATCCAGTCAGAGTTATGTTAAAAATTGTCCTGGCTATTCCAAGCTCTATCATTGCAGTCAGCGGGTGTTGCAGTTGAACAGTCCACAATTCGTCAAATAAAGCGCGCGCATCCATAATAAAACATGCCTCACACGGCTCCGGGGGGTGAATAAAGGCCTCCTGTAGTGAATCCATGCGTTTTTGTAAGAAACATATCCATATTTCAAACGTAATAAACACTTTTCTCTCACTTCCGGTATCTGTCATACGAGGAAAGCCGTTCCGGCGGATGACGCAACACTTATGTGCAGTGCGAGCGCATCTGAGATATGCTAGTCTCGCGAGTTTGTTTATAGGAGCAAAGGAAGCAAAGTTTCCTTACTTTAGCAAAGGAAAACCAGTCTCCTCTTGGTTTATATCGAAATCCTCTAACATTTTTCTTTGAAAATCCTCGGTTTGTACTTCTAATTCGTGACCGGCGTTTTGTTTTGTTCTCTCTCCGCATTCGTCACTAATCACGCAATGCCGACATCTTACGTCATCCGCCGGAACGGCTTCCGCGTATGACAGAAGCATTTTTATTACGGATGTGCGCGCTTTATTTGACGACTTGTGGACTGTTCAACTGCAACACCCGCTGACTGCAATGATAGAGCTTGGAATAGCCAGGACAATTTTTTATATAACTCCGACTGGATTCGTCTGAAAGAAGAAACGCATATACACCTATGATGCCTCGAGGGTGAGTAAAACACAAGCTAATTTCCATTTTTGGGTGACCTAACCCTTTAGATTCCTTACGATAAGGCATTAAACAACAATTGCAATTTTCCTACAGCGAGTTTCTGATAGTACTTCAGCAGGTACTATAGGAAACCACATTACCTCCAGAGCACACTCAAAAAAATGGCAGGCCAAGATCAGGAGTGATCTCCTTTTCTCCAGGTGGGCCACCAGTGTTTTCCAAGCCTCACTGAGAGAGACAGCCATGGCCTCATAAACCAGCTCCTCTCCTTTCTTCTGAGCTGCTGTTTTATCAGCCTCCTCCAGCAAAGCCCATACGCCTCCTTCATTTTTCTGTGTAAAATTTAAATTCAATTATTAGATATTAACACATTGCCCTAGCATGTAAGTGTACACAGCTCTTACTTTTATTTAAACTCAAAACAAAAAGCAGCCCCCATGCTGATTAGAAACGTCTGGTGGGCAAATGAGATGCACATAAGTACATGATGAAATGTTTGGTAATGTGCAATATGTTTTAGCTGTGGTAGAGGATTTTGTTCTGATTAAAGGCTGTACTCTTCATTCTGAGCCTGTAGTTACTTTTGGTCAGATAGCGCACTCTGATGGTTTTTCACTTTCAAATATAGCACGGAAATGCTTCTGTAGCATATAATTGTATGTTCGAATCAATATTTTGAAGACAGCATGTTCAAAGCAGCAAGGAACTCTCCTTGTAAGGTCTGAAAGCATTGCTTTGTGGCATATGTCTGATGTAACGCCAGCTATTTGGATCTGGCAATAAAAAAAGTGTACAAAACGTCTTATGAAACTGTACACAAAACGTTTAACATCTGTTATTAATTTCTCTTCATTAAGTCTTTTATTTCTACCCTGCAAATATCTTTATAATTCAACTTCAAAACATTCATCATGAATGGAATCATCCCACTGAACAGAGTAGATTTATAACAATTGTATTTCAAAGGCTCAAATGAAACGTTGAAGAACCTTCGAAGTTAAAGGGGTCCTATTATGCTTTTTCACTTTTTCAACTTTAGTTAGTCTGTAATGTTGCTGTTTGAGCATAAAAAAGATCTGCGAAGTTACAAAGCCCAAAGCCCAATTCAAAAGGAGATATTTTATTTAACAGAAATCACTTTTCAAAAACTACAACGAACGACTCGTTTGGACTACAACGCATATTTTCCAGGATTTGCGATATCACAAATACCGACGAATGGGACAAGACCTGGTTTAGCTGCACTAGAGAAGGCAACGAGTGTTATCACTACGTCAGAGACAAGCTAGCTTTCACAAGGCAGACAAACTTAGAGTGATTACAATCATCCGGGTTTAAATAGCGCTCAAATTTATTTGATTTTGACGCAATATTTACTCTGAAGCTCGCAGAGGGGCATGACATTTCCCGAGTCCCGACCAGGCGCCGAGTGGTGCCAATCACAACACACACTGGCCCAGCTAACCAATCACAGCACATTTCGGGCCTTCATTTGATACAGGAACTATTCGAGCAGTTCATGCCAGACTGAGGAGAGAGGTGTTGTAATAATGTAAAATATGTGAAAAAATAATGTGTTTTTCTGAACAACCTAGTATGAGAGCCTGTTCTAGTACACCCCCAAAACAAAATCAAGAAAAGAGCATAATAAGACCCCTTTAAACTGAGTGGTGGGTCTTAAACAGATATGCCTCCAACAACGGCACCAAAAAACATCTGTGAAAATCCCATAAATCATCTCCTCATGGTTGTGTGAGAAGGACATTGTGCTTAGGATAAAGCATAGACAACTATACAAATACATACCAAAAGTTGGAACACAGCTACTATTTTTCAGAATAAAAGTATAAAAGTACTTATAAAAGTATAAAGTAAAAGAATAAAAGTAATCAATCCTACAAAATCACACAACTAAAGTTTAGGAATGATCAAAACATTTTTTCACCACCATTGGTCTAAATTCCATTCTCTCATTAAACTTCATGAGGTGCATCCTGGGATGCGCTTTAAGCAATACTTAATGAGATCGCATATTATTGGATGCTTTTACTTTGCCATCTGGTGTAACGTCTTAAATAAATAAATAAAAACTATATTAGTTACACCACTCTGCAAAAGTTTGTTTTTGAAAGACCAAGATTTTTTTTTTTTATCAACAAGGCAGCATTTATTTGATAAAAAAATAAAGTAAAAACAGTAATACTGTGAAATATTGTTACAATTTAAAAGAACTATTTTCTTTTTGAATATATTTTAAAATCTAATTGTCATCCATTATTCCAATCTTCAGCGTGGCATGATCCTTCAGAAATCATTCTAATTTGCTGATTTTGTGCTCAAAAAACTCTTACAATTATAAATGCTGAAGATGTATTCACAAACTATTTATATTTGTCTACAAAACTAAATTTTAAGCATTCCAGAATAAGCTTTAAAAATAAAAAAGGATTTAAAGATCATGTGAAAATGTAAATTCAGTTACTGGAGGGTGTTTCCAAACTTTTGTCTGGTCCTACAACTATTGGGCTTTAAGATCAAAACATTTTTATTTTGCATTGGTACAGTAGAGATTACCTTAAGTTTAGCAAGGAGCTGCTCATGTTCCTCTAGAAGCTTTTTGGTTTCATCCTGGTTGTTTCCAATCTCCAGAAGGTTGGGTTGTGCTTCTGTCAGTTGTAGATGCACCAGCTCGCCACACTTTAAACACACACACACGCAATCCACACACCCGAGAACATGTTAATGAATGGCTGTGCTTCTGCACATGCACCTCTTGTATCCACGTGGCCTCAAGTGCATTTCACAGACTGTAAACAAGACTGAAAGAAGGTCCTCCACTGGCCCCTGGCCAAAGAGCACTTCGATTTCAATGCAAAGCCCCCTCAGTGAATTCTCATCCGATCAATTGCAAGTCCCAATGCAAACTTTGGCATGCAAATTGCGCTGATCTTAAAATCGCATTGCAATTTGCAAGTACGGGAAGAGCCATTCTGAGAGTGAATGAAATGTGGAGCTGCCACAGCTGCCACAGCCTGTCATGTTTGTTAAACAACTGCAAAAAATACAGTTTAAGGTATGCGGACTGATGGCTAATTATCATTTCTGTTTACATTAAGTCTGCTTACAGGGTCTATTGCAGGCATCTGGTGGTTTTTAAATACTAACACACATTAACTGCTTTGTGTATTAAGAACCAGCCATATAAACAAGGAATGAAGTGAATAAATACTACACCTAAAAATCAATTATGTCAAACCTGCAACATATAGAGGAGTAATATGTAAATAAAAATGAGATTTGATAGCTCTGGGGGAGGGAAGATTGTCAGTAAATAACTTAAATTCAGTTTTCTCCTATCAAATGACTGAACTTGGAGGATTGGAAGCACTGTATACATTTATGGAGCTTTTCGGAGTCTAACACAGACATATAAGCTATAAACAATATTAGGAGTGTATAGGAAAAGTACAAAACAGCAGACTTTCATTTTGGGCTGAACTATTCCCTGAAACAAAAGCAGGAGCAAGCATACATTAGACAATAATAGAACCTTATAACTAGACATAAGGATGACCGGTCACAGAGAATCTTTATGAATAATTCAGGCCATCAGGAGTTTGGACCATCACAGAGCTCTGTGTTTCTCTCACAGCTGTTTTTGCCTCCCCATTAAGTCACTGCGTCAGGCATTATGGAACATTCACATTCCATGGAATCCTCTCACAGAAAAACAATAAGGTTTTATTGATAGCCCAAGCCAAGAGTCTGTTGAATACCCCGAACTGTTTGCCCATAACATCACTGGTGAGAGCAGTTTCCTTCCATGATTGTAGCAGTGCTTTTGGATAAAGCAATGACGTGAGTTCAACATTGCATGCAGCCGTACAGTATTATTCATTCAAAGATATTATCAGGAAAGGAATAGTTTACTAGGCAGTGTTGTTATTGTTAAACTAAAACTAAAAATTTGCCATTGTTTTTGGTAATTAAATATATAATTTAAAATACATTTTATACACATATTAATAAACTATAACTATTAGATAGAAAAGAAAACAAATTTGAAGCTGCCTTGGCAACTAACTGAAATAAGCTGAAGGAATGTATTTGTACTAAAATTACTAAAACTATTAAAGGTCATTCCAGTAATTGAATATAAATAGAAATAACAATGAAATAAAATAGAATATTAGATTAAAAACTTAAAGGGATAGTTCACCCAAAAATGAAAATTTGATGTTTATCTGCTTACCCCCAGGGCATCCAAGATGTAGGTGACTTTGTTTCTTCGGTAGAACACAAACGGAGATTTTTAACTCACCTATCTCTCAAATGAACTATTGACACTCTATCTACAGACTCTATAAAGAGTGTCAATGGTCCATTTGAGAGATAGGTGGCGGTAATGCACTTATAAGCCTGCGATCTGCCGTAAAGCAAGAAGAAGACGCGCCACGCGCCGGCTGTTGAGAACGAGCTCAGGACAGTTCGGACATTGTAGGTGAATCAGACGTAAAAAACTATATAAATACTGTTCAGTTTCTTGCACTGACCGATCGTTTCGTGTCTTTACACATCAATGTATCGTCACGAGCCGCAGGGTTTAATTTGGTTTTGTTTGTGTATGTTTTTTTTTTTACTCTCAAAGCCGTGATTCCCATTCACTTCCATTATAAGACTGACAGACTGCAACGGTTTGAGTTAAAAATCTTCGTTTGTGTTCTACTGAAGAAACAAAGTCACCTACATCTTGGATGCCCTGGGGGTAAGCAGATAAACATCACATTTTCATTTTTGGGTGAACTATCCCTTTAAAATGAAAATTTTTCATTGGCAACTTAACTGAAAATGTTTAAATTGAAGTTCTAAAATCACTAATACTAAAAAAGCTAAATAGAAAATCAAACATTACAAAGGCACAAAATTCAAATGACAACTGAAAATATAAAAATAAAAGCTAAAACTTCTAAATAAATACTATAATATATTAATAATACTACAATAACACTTTAGCTGGTATATTCTGCTAAATTTCTTATTTTGTGTTCCACAGATGATATAGTCTATAGATATAGACAAACTAACACTACAGTTGAAGTCAACCTCAATCACCAAAGAATGTTCTTATTAACTGCACAGTAATGCATCTAAAATAATTCAAAATGTATATACTATATTCCAGTGACAAACATACAGTTCATATCATCAGTCTACATAAAGCTTTGCATTGTAAAGTAGAATAGTTCAAATACCTTGAGTACTGCTACAACAATCTGGGAAGTTCCAGCCTGTACGGCCACAGTGCTGATTGTTGTTGTGGAAGGCTGACCTCCAGCATCACCTTCACTGGACATTGTGGACATTGTCCCCTCGAGTCCACACATCCAAGAACCAGAAAGGTCAGAACAAAGCTCAGTACACACAGGTTTGTGCTGTAATCCAAAGCTCCTCTTTTCAAAAGTCCACAACTGTCCCGACAGGCGGCTAAACACAGAATGAAGTCTCTGGGGTTTTTAAAGTGACACGGCCCACGTCCACATCAAAGATCCACTTGCCCTGCAGGTAAACTCTGCAACCCCTCAAAGGTCTTTCAGCATTGCTGTGCTCTTACAGGCTCCACCGGGGCCACTGGCCTGAATGAACAGTATGGTGCAAACACAGCCGTCTATGTTGACAGGGCAGAGAGGCGTGTTAAAAATAGAAATATCCACTAAGTTTATCACACTGTGCAGAGAGCCATTTGACACACCCCCCGTTTGGTTGCTTTGGTGAGTCTGTTGCTCTCTCCCCTCCCCTTGCATGTCTCACTATGACTAACCTTTACTTTTCATCACAATAGAGCATATTGGAAACAATTATACTTAGAAAAATAGCTCACCATTTTGCCATTATTTAGTCATTTAGTCTCATGTCAAAAGGACAAAATAAGCATAGTCCACGCAAAAACTATATTCTAATACTGAAAACATAAGTCATGACTGAAAAGCACTGCAAGTCATTCACTGTAAAAATCACATCTGCTCTAGCTTTCTCTGATGCTTTGAGGAGCAAGGCAACAACATCTTATTCTTGAGCAATTCATTTAATCGTACTCGAATCTTTTCAATGATCCAATTCACAAAACCTGAAATGGAGGGCAAGAATATTTTACATTTTTGTCCGTCACATTATGATATGGCTTAAAAACACTTTGAATATACCACACAAGCCAAGTCAAGTTTTAGGGTTAGTAAGATTTTTTTTCCCCCTTAATGTTTTTGAAATAAGCCTCTTTTGCTCACCAAGGCTGTGTTTATTTTATCATAACTGTTTTCTATTTTAGTCTTTTTTAAAATGTGATTTATTCCTGTGATGACAAAGCTAAAATTTCAGCATCATTACTCCAGTCTTCAGTGTCACATGATCCTTCAGAAATCATTCTAACATGCGGATTCAGTGTTCGAGGCTAAACTAATATGTGTTGAAAGCAGAGATACTTTTTTTCTTATTAAACATATTTTGTGTTCCACATAAAGTCCAACATTTTGACCAACATGAGGGGAATGTTCATAGAATGTTCATTTTTTTGGTGAACTAATCCCATCAGAAGTGTTTATTTTCACTGAAACTATACTTTGTCATCAGCATAATTAAATGGTAAGAAATGCCAGAAAGGCATTCTCAGCATGCCCTGCATGGCATCTTTCCATGTTGTAGCATGTGTTTAAAATGAGCAGGAGCATGGAAGAGGCTTGTTCTGTCCTTAAATGCCTGTTCCAAACCACAGACCACCACAAAGCCACATTACGTTCCCTTCCTATTAAATGTAATGGCTAGTAAATTATTCAAATAACTGCTTTTAGAAATCCCTTATGTTTCTTTCTAACACATTATTCCACCAAACAACAACAATGTGCAACTACAAACAGTCTGATGCATAAAATAAAGGACGGATACACTATCACCCGAGTCAAGTATTCTAGAGACGTGCAAAATTTATATACCTACAGTACATGTTGTTTATACACTTATTTAGTATAGATTTATGCAAATGAACAATGATACAAACAGTGATGTTGCGAGCAATTAAAAAAATAAATAAATCAATGAATAAAAGGTTATTTGAAGGTGGCAGATTTTAATGTGTATCAGTCAACCACAGCATAATAGACGGAAAAGGCCAGAGAGACTCTCTGATAATGACCAGTCCCAAGAGAAACAGTCCCCAAATTCTTAAAGGGATAGTCCAACCAAAAAAATGAAAATTTACTCTCATGTCATTCCAAACCGGTGTCCATTTCTTTTTTCTGCAGAACATAAAAGATTCCACAGATAATGTCAAACAGGTTTAGAATGACTATAAAGTAAATGTCATAGAATGTCATACAATTTTGATGTTTGATTTTTATTAAACTGATCTATCCATCAAAGAAAAGCAATGTATGACAGGGTCCACAAAAACATTAAGCAGCCCAACTGTTTTCAACATTGAGAAATGTTTCTTAACCACCAAATCATCAAATTAGAATGATTTCTGAAAGATCATGTGACACTGAAGACCGGAGTAATGTTGATGAAACTTTAGCTTTGTCAGCAAATTGTTTTAAATTTCAGTATTTCATAATATTACTGTTGTTACTGTATTTTTTGATCAAATAATTGCAGTCTTGATACATAAGAAATTTCTTTCAAAAACATTAACAAAATTTTACCAACCCCAAACTTTTGAACAGTAGTATATTTCAGTGACGTGCATCATATTGTAATATGGACATTTTATACTTGGCATTCCTAGAATAAAAAAAAAAACACTTTCTAGAATGATCACTGTGAAACAGAGGAAAAAGTTACCTTTAGTTCAGCATCACACCACATACTTACTGCTGCAGTAATGTTGTCTTTTCCATTGAGGACAATAGTGTCTGCAGAACATCCTGAGGTCCTCCTATGGGGTCTTCCTATCAAAGCCTGATGGAGGAAATGTTTTGAGATAAAGAGGGGACGTTTATAACAACAGGGCAGCATTATTATTAATTCAGCTGTGCATTTTACATTCAATAATTAATCAGCATTTTACACAGATGATTTTACAATGTAGGACACCCGTCACGGTGAACATGGTGAGGAAGATTATAGACACAATGATGCCATTTTATCTACAAAGAACATTGTGAGCTCTTTGGTAAAACAGAAATATGTACAAGACAAAAATATGTATTATAATACACTTTACCATCATCTTTTAAACAGGTTATCCATGAGTGAATTTCTATTACCATGTGATTTCCAGTGTAAGATTTTTTTTTTTTTTAATCATTCCAATTTAGACTTCAGTGCAGACTGGGAACTGTTTAAAAGGCTGCCAGTTAAAGCTATTATCAAGGTTTCCAGAAAACTGTCACAGAGGGTCTGTCTTTTTCCACTGTTACAAGACATCCCAGCAGTCCTCCCAAAACCAGTACAGAGGCAGCAGCTGCTAAGACAGCTGAGAAATCCAATAGACTTTAGAGAGCACCAATGGGCAGTGCAGGACTAAGTAAGAAGGGCCCTGTGGCCCCGGACGACACCCATGCCATCTGTCAAGGGCCCTGATAAGGTTATTATTAGACAGAACACTGATTCTCAGGCCAGTCATCACATAAACTCTGTGACTAAGCTTTCTGGAAACATGACAAGCATGTATGTTAAAATTGACACCCTTTACATCTTTAAAAAATCTGAATAAAAAGATGAAGTCGAGTTGTCACAGGATTTTTTGCTGTGATGATGCCTAAAACTTGAACAACATAAGAACACCACTTAATAAAATTATTAACATTAAGATACTAAGCTACATCAATACCAAATAAATAAATGAGAGAATTTTCTCCATGCAAAATTGTATTACTTAATATTTAATTTTATTAATATTTTTGAGGGAAAATGTGACCTAAACATGTTTTGGACAGGTTTAGTGAGATCAAATCAATGTCCAACTATGTCAGTGATTCTCATAACAAACTAAGTGAATCATTTAGAGCCTGTAAAATAACGAGAAAGCAAGAGTTTGAAGCGAGCAGCTGAAGTCTGGAGTAAAACTTTGATGCAGTATGAAATATTCAGTATAAAAATATCTTAACCTTGTCTAAACTGATACAAAATTGATAAAGACTTTCTCCTAAAATGCAGCACAGGGCAGAGAGAATGTAAGCGAATAGCAACGCCGCAGGCAACTAATGACCTGCTTGACTTATGCACTCACAGCCTGGCATCTTGGGAAGTTATAAGAAACCATTTATATAGAAACAAGTCAGAGTTCATGCAATATGCATGAAAACTTTTTAGAAATATTTTTACTGCACAAACCAGCCAACAGCCCCAAAAAAAGAATCATGGTTTCCACAAAGATAATATAAAGAAATGTTTCTTGAAATTCTTGCATTAAATCAGCATATAGCATATATATCTGAATTTTAATATTTCACTGTTTTTACTGTATCTTTGATCAAATAAATGGCCTTGCCTTGATGAGCATGAGACTTCTTTTAAAACATTTTAAACTCATACTGACCCAAATCTTTTGAACACTAGTGTAGTAAATTAGTATGCACAACAAGCCAGCTTTATGACGTTGTAAAAGAGACAGCCTTTCCTCTCCCGTCTTATGGCGCAATTTTTTTCTTCATTTATTTTATACAACTTATATTTTCATAAAATACACTATAGCCTTTAAAAATGGCAAAAGCATTATACAATTTAAATGGTATGCAAGGTACAAAAAAAAAAAAAAAGGAAAATAAATATGAAATTAATATTTTATGACATGCATCCATATGCAAGCAGCGTATGCATTAGACTGACAATTTATGAGATGAAACATAGCTCCGTTTCACATTTTACTGTCAAAACAAAGCTCTAAACAACAATTCGACATTGGACCTTAAAGCTTTGCTTTGTTTGTACCTTCATTGTTGAACTACAACAGCTTCAGTTTCTGATGTGCTGTCATGTCCCGTTTCTACATTAAACACCATCTTCAGCAAAGGCCTTGCGGATGGATATTTATACTGGCATAAGAGAGAAGGTTTGGTAATTCTCAACAGAAAGCAACCGAAGGAAAGAAATAGAAAATACAATGCTTACGGTCAGGAAAGGCCTACAAATCTGGAGCACCAGATACAAATGGGATAAAGATGCCGCTTTATGTACATTCTATAGGTTTAGTAGCACCATTACAAGCTCAAGGCGCCTCGCTGGGAGGAGAACGAGTCGACAGGTAAGGTAAAGCTTTGTAGGGAGGCGAGAGTTCAAAGTAGTGTGGTTGATTTAGTATTCAGCTGTCCACGCAGGCAATGCAATGCGAGCCCATGGAGTCTATCTTTAACTGCGCTCGGTAAGTTAAGATGGCTTGGTGAGGTGGAGTATAACAGAGACGGCGGGTGATCTAGGTCACATTTGGACCGGGCCGGCAGAGCAGCGAGATGCACATGAGGATCAGGCGCTGTGCTGCCATCTGCAACGCTTCCTGCAAGAGGGCATGAGGGGTATCGGCTTCTCAACTCTCCCTGGGCCCCGCCTCCAGAGCCTCCTCATCCAGCCGCTGCTCCACCTCTTCCTGTAAGAATCTCTTTTCCTCCACCAGTTTCA